TGTGTTTTTTTTTTTTTTTTTCTAATTCTCTTTGATTAACAGCTTTTTCTATTAAATACAATGGAGCGACTAAAACTTTAATTGATGGCATTTTGTCTAACTTCTTTAAATGCGCTCCATTTCGAAAAGGTGGTGGAAAAGAAAAAAATTTAGATTGATTGATATAAATTTATATTCAAAAAAAGTAGTCTAAAGTTTCTTTATTGAAATATTTACATATATTTCAATAAAGAAATATTTTCTTTCTATCTGCTAATATTTTTTTATTCAGTGTTAATTCAACATTACAAGTTAAAACTCAATTATGAAAAAAGCCTAGGATTGAGTTGACATTTTAAGTAAAATAAGAAGAGCCCAAAAAGTAACTGATGTAATATTTTTATTTAAAAAAAAAAAAAAAAAAATTCTAATGTTTAAAATTGGTATTAATATTATTGTTTATTAGATGAAGATTAGGGTACAGTGAATTTCGATTGTTTTTGAAAAAAATAAAATTAAAGCTTAGGAAAAGGTGTATTCTTATGTAAAATTAAATTTTAAGGTAGGTTTGCTATGGACAACTTTTTGATTAGAAAACGTTTTGATACCCAAATTTTTATATTTTGACATTATTAAAATGAAATATACTTTAATTATTATAAAGTAAATTTAATCTGGTTTTATGTTTAGTTTCTCATAATAAGCGCAGTGCCCATTCAATTTTTAAAGAAATTCTTAGCTCTCCACCGTAAAAAAACATTTAAACAAGATTGTAGTCTGTAAATATTTTATTTGTTATATTATCAAGTTATTCATAAATGTCGAAAGTTAAAACTAGATATTCATCCACTACTAGAATTTCTGAGTTTGTTGGACCTGGAAAAGATTTTATTCCTAGTGAGCTACCAACAAACAGAGCAGTTATTCAAAAAGGAATTTTATTAAAAGAACAAAAAAGCATAACATGCAATTTACACCAAAATAAATATTCTAACAAAGATCTTGCTAGCGATCTAATTCCACTTGTTCTTGCTCAATAAAAAAAAGCAAGTATTTTATTTCAACAACCAGTTATTATTGGGGAGAAATCGCTTTATTATAGAATAAAAACACTTTGGGAGAAAGTAAAAAACGTTGCATGGAGAAGAGCAAAGGTAAAAGTAAAAGAAGAGCTAATATTGAAGTTAGATAAACTAATGGACCTCATAACATGTCCTCACACAATACTTCTATGCGAGCATGATCTTTCTCGGTGTTCTTCCCCCAAAAATTGTAAAAATAAAGCACATATAAATTGCACCTGTATTTATTCTAAAAAAATTCCAGCTATGGAGCTCAGGTGGTTATACAGACAAAGAAATAAGACAGGTGAAAAGTCTGACATGCAGATGGGACATGCTGATAAGATTGAGACAATGAAACTAAGAAAAAAGTATAAGAGAAAAGTCAGCGATGAAGAAGCTTACAAGAAAAGAATTAAAAAAATAGAGGAGGAACAAGCATTCTTCGAGGTAAATATAATTTCTTAATAATAAATATTTTCTTTTTTCATATAATAATAATAATAACAATAATATATATACATATATATATATATATATATATATATATATATATATATATATATATATATATATATATATATATATATATATATATATATATATATATATATATATATATATATATATATATATATATATATATATATATATATATATATATATATAATTAATTTGGTTTTATGTCGCAGAAGAAGAAGATATAGAATTAGATAAAGAACATCAAAAAAATATTTTTCCTGGCTTTCTCGATGAAAACTATAATCTAGATAATGTTAACATAACTTTAAAACAAGACAATGAAATTAAGATTTTGGTTAAAAGGCTGCTAAAGGAAAAGTTAGGTGTCTATGCTTTCCTTGTAACACGGTTTTTAGAAAAAAAGTCAAGATATAACACAATGTCAATAAAAAACACAGCTATGGCTAGTATAAGGTAGTTATATTGACTTTTGTTTTGTTGAGCAGCAACATGAGTTAATAGAAATAAATATAAACCATTCTTATCCTATAGGTCCGGGATTTCACCTGCCGCAACTGCAGCAATTGCTACAAGTTATCTTCAAGATTTAATTGAAGCAGGATTTCTCACCCCTGAGTCCTCTTACCTTGCTTGTGATCCTTCTAAGTTGACGAGAGAGAGAAAAAAGGTGATGGTAGTTGCGGAGAAAAATGATAATCTAAAACTTCCAAAAGCAGACAATATTGCCATTTACTTTGACGGAAGGAAAGATTCAACAAGAGCAATGATAAATGATTCAAATGGACAGCTACATACTACTATTATTATCAAAGAGCAGCACATTACTGTGACTATAGAACCTGGTGGTCGATATCTTGGCCATTTTACCCCAAATGCACCTAATCATCTAGATAAGCCAGCTAAAAAGATTGCCGAAGGTATTTATAATTTGCTGCAACAATATAATCTTACTGAATGATGTTTAGTACTTGGAGCTGACAGTACTTCAATTAACACAAGCTGGAAAGGTGGTGCTATAACGCATCTTGGAAAGCTGTTAGGTCACAAGTGCCACTGGGCTATATGCATGCTTCATTCGAATGAATTATTTTTGCGTCACCTTATAGAAGGCATTGATGGACCAACATCATGTAGTACTGGATTTGTAGGTCCTGTGGGAAAATTTCTTCCTGATGTTAATAAAATGGAGTATAATCCTCAATTTAAAGCTCTTCCAAATAGAGAGAGAGCTTTGTCGACATTCCAGAAACAATATTAAAAAATATGTCAACAGATCAGAAACAATGTTACAAGCTATGTAAAGCAGTTAAGATTGGTTTATTGCCACCTAATTTTAGAGAAATTCAATGTGGCCCCTTAAGTCATGCCAGATGGCTCACTACTGGCATGAGAATAGTCTTTATGTGGACAAGGAAACACAACTTAAATGATCAAAATTCGCAAAATCTAGAAATACTTGTTTTATTTTGTTTACAATTTTACTTTAAACTTTTTTTTGACATAAAAGTCAAAAACAGACTTGAAGATGCTTCTTATCACATTCTGTCTCAATTGAGAATTCTTAGAATGCAACCTGATAGAGTAAAAGAAATTGTGACTCCCTACATCCAGTTAGGGGCTTGGTATGCGAACCATGAAAGTATACTAATCTCTTTATTATCTAGTAATAATGCAGAAGATCGCAATTTTGCAGTTGATTGAATTTTGAAACTAAGGGGTAATGATATCCTTGGAGATATGCGAATCAGACCAAAAAAAACACCTAAACTTAACTTTGCAGCAACTACTCTTCAAGAGCTAGTTAAATGGGATAATGGTGTTGTAGAAGAACCTGTTTTTACTTGTTCGCTCACCAGAGATAAGTTGTTATTACTTAGATTGATACCAATATCAAAATCGAATATGTGGAAATGAGCTGTTAGGAATGAAGATTTACAAGAAGAAGTAATTCCATCTAACTGGATTAGTGATAAAACAAAATATATAACTATTTGTATAACTGTTTCAATTCCAAAAGAAAGCAAACAGTATTGTGAAAATTTTAAATTCACAACTACAAAAGAAAAGTGTGATAATGAGAATGTTGTCAAGTGGATGCAAGATTTGCACACAAGTGGAAACTTGGATGCAAATTTTCCACTTGTGTGGTTTTGATGGTTTCTCCACAAGCATAATATTATATTTACTTAATGTTTCTTACAGATAAACCAATTACAAATAATTGGTGGAACGTCTTCTAAAGATAGAATGCACAAAATTATGTTGAGGTAATCAAAAACAGTATTGGACTTTTACCTCATTTATAATCAGGGTGTCCACAGCTCCTCTAAAATCCTCTAAAGTCCTCTTTTTTTTAAATCTACCTCTAAAACCTCTATTATCCTCTAATTAATTTTTGATAGAAGTATAATGTTCAAAATACCCATTCTCGGTCTGCAAAACTGGTTAACGCCTTGAAGTGGATGGAATTGTAAAAAATTGCTTTAGCAAATGCATGCTATTTAACATAAAAATGACATTTGATCCCTGTCCAAGCCTCATAAGTGTATAAACATGGACGTTAAAGCGTTAATAAATGGCCACATAAAATTTCTTATAAAAATTTTATGTGGCTACCCCAAAAACTTATTTTTAAATGGTAGAAATGCTTTATATTTTGATTATTAATTTTTTTGGAAAATAGGTTGTTTTATTTAAATTAAATATTTGAAAAAGTTATTAACACCAACTAACAGTTATATTATTTTTTGAAAGTTCAGAGTATTTTCGAAAAGTTATATGGCCTCCACGGATATGAAGGGCAAAGGTGGAAAATGTTATATATATATATATATATATATATATATATATATATATATATATATATATATATATATATATATATATATATATATATATATATATATATATATATATATATATTATATATATATATATATATATATATATATATATATATATATATATATATATATATATATATATGTTTTATATATATATATATTAGGGTGTTCCAAAAAAATGACTTTTTTGAATTTCAACTAACATTGCTTTTCATAAGGTGCCCCAACCTTGATATTACTAATAAATTTTTTTTTTCATGATTAGATCACTCCATGACTTCCCTCAATGAGCCCAAGGGTCATTTTTTGCCCGTTTTTTGCCCATATTTCGGACTAGCTGAGGGGAGTGTTACCATTATCCAAACTAATTTTTCTTTCTTTTTTTTTGTTGTTTTATATTTTTGAAGGAAATAAAAATATAATGTTAAGCTTAATTTTTTTTTTTTTTTTACTTAAACAATGAAGACCAAAAAATTAAAAAAAAGGCATTTTTAAGCTTTTTTGCACTATATTAGTGTTCTGCTTATTAACAAGATACTTTACGTATTAAAATATTTATATTTACATAATAAAATCATATTTATGATTAGTTTCTGAAGAAATTAGTTGTCAAACATAGTTCATGTTTAAAAATTTATTTTGTAAACAAAGAATTCTTTACATAATCACATTTTTTTTTAATTGTTCTTTCACACTTATATTTGTTTGATACGAGGAAGGTACTTTGTCTTTTATCCTCATTATGCGATTTATTGATCAACTCCTATTAAAGAATATTTAAAAGTAATGAGCTTGTAAAATAAATTAAGATTTTAACATAAACATTAAGGACCAAACATATAAAATAGTTACCTGAACTAGTTTTATAGCCCTCTCACTACAGTCATTTACTACTTCAAGATTATTCACAAATTGTTTGAATTCTAAGTAATAGTCATTTAGATCGCATGTCTCAGATGGAGTCTTAAGCCACTGTACTTCAGCATTTGCATGGTTTAAGATATGAAAAATTAACCAACTCTGGTCAGTTATAAGCGGGGTCAAACTTGGGGGAGTATCATCATTAAACATAAGGGAGTTCAGTATATTTAAATTAACTTGATGTCTTTCTATGGCATAAGTTGTAGGTCTTGGGGTTGAGTACAACTTCTTGGCAATGTCACTCCGTTCTTGTACATTTTTGTCAACAAGAGACATAACTAAAATATTTGGGTCTATGTACCAGGTGTGTCTCTTTAGAGACTCTATAACAGGTTTTGCCTGGACAGGATTGATTTTTGAGTACCTCATCATCTGCCAAAGAGCTTTCATATCCTAAAGATTTTTAGACTATGAAATATTACACAAAATTTTCAAAGAAAAAAAAAGTAATAAAAAGCAAAATGATTAAAAGTTTTTAAAACATAGAAATGTCACCTGATATGGAGCGACAGCCGGAATTTCAGCCTTTATAAACCACTCAGTGTAAAATACAGCTGTGAAGAATGCCATATCATTTATTTCTTTCTTCTCAAAATCTGTCAAGCTAGAAATGTTGTTTAGAAGGAGATACATTTTCAGAAAGTATATTCCCTTTGCCAAAAAATGACCTTTGGACCCATTGAGGGAAGTCATGGAGTGATCTAATCATGAAAAAAAAAAAAATTATTAGTAATATCAAGGTTGGGGCACCTTATGAAAAGCAATGTTAGTTGAAATTCAAAAAAGTCATTTTTTTGGAACACCCTAATATATATATATATATATATATATATATATATATATATATATATTTATATATATATATATATATATATATATATATATATATATATATATATATATATATATATAAATATGTTTTATATATATATATATATATATATATATATATATATATATATATATATATATATATATATGTTTTATATATATATATATATATATATATATATATATATATATATATATATATATATATATATATATATATATATATATATATATATATATATATATATATATATATATATATATGTTTTAAGAACACTAACCTATGTGGCGTTAAAAAAGATATGCCTTCATAAGTTGTAAGACTTTTCCATTCATTTTATATTTTTTAAATCTTCTTTTTGATTTTTTGTATATATTTTTTTTATTTACAGCTTCTTCTATTGTCATCAATGGACCAAAAGAAACCTCGGTTAATGGAACATTTTTGACTTTCTAAGTTACGCTCTATTTCAAAAAGGTGGTGGAAAAGAGAAGAAATTTGTGTAGATTTTATTCAATTATATGTATCAATGTAAATTCAACGTTGTTGTAATATTTTTTTGCGTCGAATCAACGTTGAAATAATGTTTGAACCTAACGTTGATTTAACGTTGATAAATCAATGTTAAAAAAACTATCATTTTAAACGTTGTATTAACGTAAATTTAACGTTATTGTAACGTTTTTTCGCGTCGAATCAACGTTGATATAACGTTTAAACCTAACGTTGATTTAACGTTGATAAATCAACGTTGAAAAAAACTTTAATTCTAAACGTTAAATCAACGTAAATTCAACGTTAGGTTTCAACGATATTTCAACGTTATTTCAACTTTATTTGCCGGGATATATATATATATATATATATATATATATATATATATATATATATATATATATAAATATATATATATATATATATATGATTATATATATATATATATATATATATATATATATATATATATATATATATATATATATATATATATATATATATATATATATATAAATTAGTGATGTGCCGATTAATCGGCATCGGCTTTATCGGCCACTTTTTGCACAATAGGAACTGCTATTGGCCTTTTTTACTGACTTTTTAACCCATGGCATTTTAATATTTTTATCCTGCATTTTTATAATTATTTAGTAATAAATAAACTAAACTTTGTGCATTACTTAGAACTTTTTGGATAAAATTTTATTTTGACTTTGTTTACTGGCAAAAGCTTTAAAAGTACCCTATTGAAGCATTGTTATCTATAATTTTTTAATTCTTTTTGTAGAGGTAAGGAATGAAATCAGGAGAGAGGAAATGGTGAGCATGATAAAAAGAAGCAACCTTAGCAGATGCTAATTTAGCAATCCATTGCTTATATGGTTTCCACGAAAAGTCAATAGTAAATGATAATCCAAGAAGACGTAAAGAAGTGGAATCAGTAAGAGGGTTGCCATTCATCAATATAGGAATGTTGATAGTATTGCAATAGTTAATTATCTGACAGCAAGTTGATTGACTCAAGATGAAATGTGAGAAATTTATTTATCAAAGACTAAAAGACCTTGTTAATATAAGAAAGAAGACTGATGAAACAATAATCGGAGGAGTCAGTATGTTTACCAGAGTTTTTAAAGATTAGAACAACAGATGCCATTTTTAAGCAAGTAGGAAAATAATATTCAGCCAAGCACTTCTTAAATTGTTTAGAGAAAATTAAAGAGAGTTCTAGAGAACAATTTTGTAAGACCGCGATAGGAATGTTATTTGGACCACAAGTCGTAGAAGAGTTTAATCGAGATATGACTATGAGCAATGAAAGATGAAATTATTTGAATGTCTATAAATTGTTAACTTGTTTAATTAGAATGGAAGGAAGAGAATGGCCATAAGATTCGAGAGTCGGATTAGAAGAGAATTTCTTTGCAAATAGTTCAGCCTTATTTCATGTATTTAAGTATAGCCAACTTTATAACTCAGAAACACAAACTTTGTTTTGTGTTTCTGAGTTGTATTTGAAGTTGTATTTTTTTTTTTGAAAGTTTTCTTTTCATAGTAGAAAAAAAATCAAATGTATATTTTTTTAACTGAGTTTTTATAATATCTTTTAAAATAATTGTTTGGCTTTGATTTGGGTACGAGTATTTGTTTACCAGTACCGATTTAAAGTTGTATGGTTTCATATTTTCAAATTTTTGATAATTAGTAAACTCATCGGTATCGGCATCAGTCCGGCTTTTTCCAATCCATCGGCATCGGCCGAAAAAGTGATATCGGTACATCACTAATATATAATGTATATATATATATATATATATATATATATATATATATATATATATATATATATATATATATATATATATATATATATATATATATATATATATATATATATATATATATATATATATATATATATATATATATATATATATATATATATATATATAATATTAGTGGTGCAAACATTAAAGATATGACAAAGAGGGTATTAACAGCTTTGATAACTAATGTTTTAGCTAGTAAATTAAATTTCATGGAACATTGGGAAAATATGCCTTTACGGTCCTAATGATAAGAAAAATTGTCAATGGTAATTATAAAACATCTTTTATGCAATTTAAAGAAATGCCTAATGCATTATGTTTTATATCATTTTAATAAATTGAAATATATGCATGATGCCTTAATATCTGTTTCAGCCTCCAAAACCTTATAGACCTTCCTACGCCAATGTCTAGATGCATTAAAAATTTAAATAAAAAAAGATAATGCTGCAATGACTGTGTTATATTTATTGTTTAACTAATTTTCGAATGTTATGGCGAAAAGCAATACTTGTTAAATTAAACAAGGCACTTTATGAAATTTATATATGAATTTAATTTTTTTTTGTTTCATTAGATGCAGTTAGACTCAATCCATTGATAAAAAAAGCTACAGCTGCTGAAGTAGAAGACGTAGTAAAGGAATAGCTTCAAAACGCAAAAGATAGGAGCCAAGTCGCGAAAAGCGGAGAAAGTTAGAGTTAAACAACGTTAGTTAGAGGTTAACAGTTAGTTAAACAGTTAAAAGTTAAACAGTTAGTGTTAAACAACGAAGTTGCAAATAATGTAGAAGACGAATAAAAACAGCTTGCCACAATTGCAATATTGCAAAAAAATATTATCTTGGCTTTATGAATAGTATTTTAATTCCATTTTTTAATAGCATTTAATATATATATATATATATATATATATATATATATATATATATATATATATATATATATATATATATATATATATATACATATATATACATATATATATATATATATATATGTATATATATATATATATATTTATATATACATATATATATATATTTATATATATATATATATATATATATATATATATATATATATATATATATATATATATATATATATATATATATATATATGTATATATATATATATATATATATATATATATATATATATGTATATATATATATATATATATATATATATATATATATATATATATATATATATATATATATATATATATATATATATATATATATATATATATATGTGTGTGTATATATATAAATATGGCAGAAACGCGGACATAACTCTATAAATGGTATAGTAACTGTTATTGCAGTTGATACAGAAAAATGCCTTGACTATCGTGTTTGCACAAAAAAATATAAAACTTGTGAACCCTGGGAGGATAGATTTAACTCTGATGAAAATGAAGAGTTTATGCAAAAACATAAAAATGACTTTTAACTTAATCATATTAGATCTGCTCAATCTATGGAAGCAGCAGGACTTATCGAATGTTTTAATGCCTCTGTTTAGAAAGAAAATTACGGTGCATAAGTTATTTTGGAGATGGTGAATCTAAAGCGTTTTTTGACATTCAAAAACAGAATCCATTTAGCAAAGAAACAACCAAGCTTGAATGTGCAGGAGATTTTTAAAAAAGAGTTGTAAAAAGACTTTGAAAATTAAAAGCAACCAATAAAAGCTTATTAAGTGATAATAAAAAATTAGGAGTGTTGGCCGTCTTACAACAAAACAATTAACAAGTTACAAAATTATTTTGGAAATGCAATTCGTCAATGTTGTGGGAAATCTGTTTATATATATTATAACTCATTGCTTTGAGGCATCATTTTCTGATGTAAGACATGCTATGTGTCCTCAAACTAATAATATACTTGGTGCAAATACCAAGGAGATAAAATTAATAAAACAAATATTTATAAAGAAAAGCCAGTATTGCCTATTGTTATAAGAGACATAATTAAACCAGAATTCATAGATTTATCAGATAAAAGTTTGTTAAAAAAGTGCTTTCATAGAAAAACTCAAACCAATATTGAGGCCTTGAATGTAATAACTTGGAGAAGGTGTCAAAAATATATTTATGTGGGGCAAACTGTTTTAGAAATAGGTGCACATCAGCTGTAATTAATTTCATTGAAGGATTAGTTGGTATGTTAAATGTTTATTCAGAACTTAGTATTAATCCTGGAAAATTACATTTTGCAACCAGAGTAAAAAAACTAAAAATATTGCAAAAAAATTGATTGATGAGGTAAAGCAACGTCGAAAACAAATATAGGCAAAACAAAAAGGTTATAGTGAAGAAAGTGAATGAATAGCTTATGGCCCTGGAAGTTTTTAGTAATTTTACTATTTTTCAATTGATTCAATTAATTGTTTTAAAAAAATTAAGTTTGGTTATCGCAATTTTTACTTTTGTAAAAGAAACTTTTTTTTATTTTCAAATTTTGTAATTTTTTAACAAGGATAATAACCTCTTTATGTTAATTAAAAAATTAATCAAAACTCATTATAAACTTAGCTTATTAACATTTTTATTAGCTACTACATCAAAGAGTGTTTAAAAACCTTTAGAAATAGAATCAGAGTTAATTTTATATTTTAACATGTTTTTTTTTATGTTATTTTTTTTAAATTACTGTTTTCTCAGAACAACATTTTTGAGCACGATAATTAATTTGAGAACTACTTGTTATGGTGCTTTAAAATTATGTAGAGTTGTTATTATTAGCACCAACCATTGTTTCAATATTTATCGCAGCGCCTTTTGACTTTTTTAGGTTTCGCGACCCAAAACCTGGGTCCAAATGTAAAATTTCGATTTTTTTTTTAATTTAGTATGCAGTTTTTTAATATTGTAAGAAAAATTCAATATTGTTTGGTTAAAAAAACAGTTTTAGAATTTTGACCATACTACCAACTTAAACGTTTAATGTTAATATAAATTATCATTAAACGTTTGAAATTATTCATGTTAATAATTGTTTGAAATTATTATGTATTAAATTATTATGTATTAAACGTTTGAAATTATTCATTTTTCACTCATTTACTTTTTTAAAAAAAAATAACTCACTCGTCTAAGTAAAAAAATGTAAGTAAAAGAGAAATCACAAAAAATATTTTAAACGTGTCGTTTAAAATATTTATTTATTTTTAAGAAAAAAAAGCCTAAAGGTTTTTTTTTATAAAAATTCAATTTTTAAAAACTTATTTTAAAAGAATATCTTTGAAATAAAGAGAAAATGTATTCTTTTCTTCAAAAACTAAGTAGAAAAGATGTGGAAGATGCATCTTTAAGTAACACAAAAACTCAATGTAGAAAGTAAGTTATCGTAACACTTTAAAATTTGAACCCAAATGTCTTTTTTCGTACGGCGTCTTTTTTCAAACTTTTTTTATAATCTAAATAAAAAAAGCAAAAAAATAGAAATGAAATAAAAAAAGTATGCATTATAAAAATTGAAATTGTTGAGTACATTAAACATAGTTTAATAAAAATACATTAATAATAAAAACAGTTAAACAGTGCAATATAATTAAATTTTGTTGAAGTTTTTATAGATAAATAAAATTGGTATCTCTTTATTGATTTAAAAAGAAACAACAACATCGTAAGCTTAAGTAACCTATAGAGCTAGTAGCTATATAGGTCAATTTGTATATAGATTGTACTCAAAACTAAATTAAAGTATTATATTCCCACCGTGTTCTTTTAACTATGTTTAGGAGTATACTTTATTTTAAACTTAATTGAGATATTTTGTGTTTTCTATATAAGTGTAAACTGCAATCATTATAAATAGTAATTGTACAAAAAACGCAGCCGCTAAATTCTAGTACTTTACCGGTAATCTGACCAAAACAAAAGTTTTCCAATTATAAATAAATGGTTTTTACAACCGCTGCTACATAGTATTCCAGAAAAAATGTGCAGGAAACGATATTTTTTATGGGAAAGCTTTTAGACATACATAATAATAAAAAAAAAAGACAAAACTAAACAAAACTCACCGCTAGGCCCATTACTAACAGTGAATCCCATAATGAAGCCATCCTGGACTGGATACCATGGATCTCCAGCGAATACGTTGATATCTGTAAATTCTTGTGCGTCTAAGTTTTCTACTTCATATACTAATTTGCCGTCAATAAGCACAAAAAAAATTGTTTTTTCCGGTTAAACTTGTTGTTCTACTTGAACATCTATATAACGGTTTAGTGGAAGTGGGTTGGAATTAAAATAATAATTTTTTTCACCACTTATTGCAAAAGCAATGGTTAACTTTTGCTCAAAAACCCAAATGGCAGGAATTCGATCACCGTAGTTTTGATTATCTTCTTGTTTAGTAAAATGAATAACACTTCTATACCCATCTGAAAAACTTTTGAGTAGTAAATCGAAATGAATTCTAAATGATTTTTCTAATTTTGAAAGAACTGCAACCAAGTTATTTTTCTTCATTTTCATTTTTTCGAAAAGAAATACATCGCCTGATATAAAGGAAAACCACATTTAGAAACGGCAATTTTTTGGTTTCAAGTAATAATCAAATAAGAAAAGCAAATTTATAAAATAAAAAACGTTCACTATCAAAAGCTTGGTAAAGTTTAATAAACCTTACTTTTTTGCTATTACAGCTTTTGCTAAAGATTCACCTAAAATACCATGTAAAAAATTAATATAATTTCAGTTTAACAATAATTTAAAAATGAAAATATGAAAAACAAAATCTGCAGTACTGTTTAAGAAAGCAAAATAGATATGTAAATAAGAATTAAATATGTATTTAAAAGTTTTCATAAGGTATTCTTTGTATTATTAAAATATTGTATTAATAAAACAAAAACACAGACCCTTTGTAACAACTAATTTAGGTGCGTTAGGCACAGACCGTGAAAAAATGAAAATGAAGTAATACCTGGCTCCCCATTTTCAAGAATTAAATTTTTTATCGAAGAATTATGAGGTGGATGCCAAGGATTTGAAGCAAAAACTTTAACATTGTTAAATTTTAGGGGTTTATTATTCCTTTCGGAAAATACATTTGTTCCATTTAGATCAATTGTGAACACATACTTGCTATTAACACGTTGCTGATTAACAACAACGTTTGTCCACACATTGAAAGGAAGTGGTTGAATGTATATTTGTCTAGAAATATCTCCATTTATAGGTGCAGCAATGTGTAAAAAATTGTTTTTAGTATCATTGTGTCAAAACCAAAGTGCGGGAGTTCTATCTCCGTAATCATAAAGATTTCCACCAATGGTGAAATGAAGAACACTATAAATACCAATTGGATATGACTTTGGCTTTAAATCAAACGATATTTTGTAGGATTTAGCCAATAGAGGAATAGTGGCTACTAATTTCCCTAGTTTTAAACTTGTTTCGTCATTTCCAATCAGGTGATTTGAAAAACACAAGCAAAGAAGTAAATTTCAAAAGTACAACTTAACAGCAAACCCAAATTAACAACAATTTTAAAAAATCGATAAATTTGTTTATTATTTTCTAAAGCAAAAAATCTATGCTCTTACAGGTATTATTTATTTTCTATATTAATTTACTACTATTCTTCCGAACTGGCAAAAGTATTTTCTATAAATCTTTAATATTACAGGAAAAAAAAGTGTAAGGCATCTTTATGGATTTTTAAAAATAATTTTGTTTGAAAATGAATATCTGGAAGATAAAAAAATAAAGGAAGTTTAACGTCGTGATTATTTATTTTTAAAAATGAGCGAGAATAAATTTAAATACCTAAGCCGTGTGTAACCACAGATAGTAAAACAATAACAATTATGATTTTCTGAAAAAAAAATCTTTACATAAAATAAGCCGTTTTGTTCAAAATTTATTTTAAAAAAATTAGTAAAAAACTGATTAGGTAAAATATAGAATTTATTAATACCATTATTTTTACTGTTATCATTTTCGCGGCGCTTCGCTTTCTCTCAGCAGATCTGCATGTATTCATAAAATGACGCATTATTATATAAGACGCATTAATGCATCTATTCATAAAATGACGCATTATTATATAAGACGCAAAATGACGCATTATTATATAAGAATATAGAGGAAAAGGTTACTGGCGCGTGACGGATTTAATATTCTTTACAATGGTTGTTTTTCAAATATTTTTGCAACTTAATCTTTTATTTTATTGTCAAAAATATTTTAATCACTGTTTGACGTAAGTTCGTAAATGATAAAATCTCAGTTTGCAAAGATTTTTGCAATTAAATTTGCTAATTCCATTAATGAAATCTTGTCATTATTCAAAAATCAACATTTTTTAGTTGTAAAAGATTAAAATAGACATTTAAACCTTCTTTTTATTTTCAAACGACGTGCACTTTTATTATTATCTTTTTATTTTTCCAGCATTCCGTATATCATGCGGAAAGATTTATTATACATATATTTTTTGTTTTCTTATATTAAGGGCATAAAACAAGATTTTACGGCCTTGTATATACGTTAGTTAAGAGCTGATATTGTATTACATTGTAAATAAAACTACACAGCAGTTGTTAAATTGAGTAGCATATTTTTATAAATTTATGTCTACTAAACTGGAATTGTTTAAACGTACGCTAATTAATAGTCTGAGTGCAAAACTGAACACCCCTGCGCAGGTTACTCTAGAACTGCAAAGTTAAAATGTTGAAACTCTAGGCTTATTTTAAATTTTTTTTTACTGTATAAACTTTTTATTTAGTTTATACTTGTTTAAGATACGTAGCGCAGTTAACTATCTTAAATAAGAGTAATATTTCCATAAAACGATTTATTTTTCCTTCCCAGCTGCGTTTTAAATAAATTTTGTGTACTTGTTTGTTTTCAACAAACAACACAAAAATTTATATTCTTTTTAAATCAGTCTTTAACAAGTTAAAATCCAGTAACTACTATTGGATGCAGTAATTGAAGTATTAGAAAATGCGACCATTTACCCTCAAACAGGGAAAATGGTGCAAGATGGGTTTTAATATAACAACCAAACCAGAAAAAAATTGACGAAACGAAAATTAGTTGTGTTCGGTTATTTCTAATGGAAGCTAGTTTTTGAAATGTGATAAAGTTTGAGAAAGTAAACATATAATAAGTTATTTTTTTACTTTCGTGTGACCAGACGAAAAGTTAATAAATTTTTACTTTTATTATTTGTTACAAAGTTATTTGCTAGTAAATTCAAAAACTCATGCAGGAACTTAATTTTTATAATAAAACAAACAAAATGATAAAGCATTTTTGTTTTACGGCTAATGAATTTTTAAAATTTTAGGATTTCACAAACATTTGCCATATTACCCCCTCTTTCTACGCTATACATTTTCTTATGTTTGAATATGTCAAATGATTATGTTATGTATTTGCAAGGTGGTCTTTGTAGCAGCTCGCAAGTTAAAATATACGAGCTTTATTTATATTTAACCAGAAATCAATGTTGCTGATATATAGCTGTTGAATATCTGCTGAGTTTTTTTATATATGCTGATGTACAAAGACTATAGAAATTTTTAGTTCAAATTAGATGTCTTGATTTAAAGATGTGTTTAGTAGTATATATATTTTTCTAGTAAAGATGAATTTACTAATAATCTGATTCTTACTGCATAGCAGATATCAATACCTTGATATCTCCTGTCTTTAAAATGAAAAACAATAATCAACTAAAAGAGGGCATAGCTATTTATAAATTTTCAGACAGTTTTCTAGATTTGAACTAAAGTAAGAATTTGTGAAGTTTTTATACTGCATTAAAATGTCAACGTTGTTATAACTAAAGAAATCATTAGATAAAAGTATTTGACTAATCAATTAATTTCTTTAATCAAAATGAGAGTGTAAACAGATCTATAGACTGTAAAACAAAATAAGGATCATCTGTTAAAACTTGAAATTTTCTTTTTAATTCACTTCATTATTCGCTATCTTTAACAGATTAGATATAGCATTAAAAAAAAAGAAATTTTAAAATCTGAAGAAAAGACTTGCTTTTCAGAATTCCGCTCCAACACCACCCAATATAATGATTTTTTTTTTGGATGCTCATAAGCTTAAGCTAAAATAGCGATTAGTTTTGTCGTTAAATAAGGGCAAACAGTTTTATTGTAGTTACATAAATTTATTATTTTAAATTTGTTTAAATCATCTATTTTTAATATACGAATCTAATCCGGCAAACCTCAGAATAAAGTTATGCATGATTTTTGCTGATTGTTTAAAAATTGATTTTTTGTCAATTTTGAGCATTCATTTTCACTCAAAGCCACAAGTAGGGGAGAGTGTTACTGAATAGACCTTGTACTGAATGGACCATTACAAAAATAAAAACTTAACAAGCTGTTAATTGATTTTTTTTAATTGCATATAATTTTTGTATACTCAAAGTTTCTTTGATATTTTTGGTTTAACGTTATTCGTAATAATGCATTAGTTTGTATTTTTTGTTTTTTTCGAGCAAAAAGTAAATTTTTATCTTTTCAATTTGTTTAAATTTACCCTAGATTTTTAAGGTAAAGTTAACTATGGTTAATAATAATATTATAGATACATATTTTTTACTTTGTGTAACATTACAATGAATGTTATATGGTTTACTGATTGCTGTGATTATATGGGTAACATGTACATTTTGATTAGTGTACTGGATGAACCACCATTGATTGTACTGAATGGACCGGTTCACTTTTCTGCGAAGTTATTTATCGCGCTTCAGTATGTTACTTACTAAAACAAAATACACAAGTTTTTTCATCTAAATGAACTAAGGAGGTGTGAGTTAGGAAATAAACCAAAATATCTAGTTAACGAAGACTTAAGGGTTCAAGTTCAATTATTCATTATTCAATATAATATTAAGGTAAGCAGATAATATACTATTAAGTTAAGCAGACTAATAGCTTACATATTAGGTTAATAATTATTAATTTTTAGTTTGTTTCATTATTTCAATAACTGAATGTCATAATATTATTACGATATATAAATAAGGTGGTATTACTTTTAATAACATCTAGCATATAACATTTGTTATATATACTATATATAATAAAAGTTATATGCTAGATATGTTATATGGCATATAATATGCTAGATAAGCTATATGCTGGATATTATATAGTGTATCTGAAATATTTTTTATACGTTTTTAAAAACAATGACAATTACCATGGTTAATAATTTTTACAATACAAAAAATCTAGTAATATCTAATAAAACCATGAATAAAATTTCGTAAGTTAATTGTTATATTTAAATTACTAAAGCTTGTTGATCATAATAAAAAAATTATTCTACATTCAAGCTTTTATATAATTTAGCCTTTTATACATGTTATATGTGTGTGTGTGTGTTTAGATAATTAAATATATATATATATATATATATATATATATATATATATATATATATATATATATATTTATATATATATATATATATATATATATATATATATATATATATATATATATATATATATATATATATATATATATATATATATATATATATATAGTATATATATAGTATATATATATATATATATATATATATATATATATATATATATATATATATATATATATATATATATATAT